CTAGTGGAAATTAAGGCAGTGCTCATTTCTTATTTTACCTTTTATTCAGGTATTTGAAAAGCAGCTGCAACTAGCTGTGTCCTTAAGGAAACCCTTGGTAATACACTGCAGAGAGGCTGATGATGATCTGCTGGGGATCATGAAAAAGTTTGTGCCTAAAGACTACAAGATACACAGGTAGCTGTTGCTAAATTAAATTCTGTCATTCATTGCTGGAGATCATATAATTAAATCAGAAATTATACCTACATTAGTAAAATAACAAACCAGGAAATATATGAAACTGTTCAGACCAGGTGATACTTTAATTGAAAAAGAAATAGGGAGGTAGCTGGATCATCAATGCTTAAAATTATGGAAGCTTTACTGCAGAAGTAATGTTTTGTGGCTTCTTAAAAGAATTCTTAGGATGCCTTAGGGATGGACAGGAAATGATACAGCAGAAGTTGTTCTGATATAGGGGGAAGGGATAGCTCAGTGGTTTGAGCATTGGCCTGCTAAACCCAGGGTTGTGAGTTCAATCTTTGAGGGGTCCACTTAGGGATCTGGGGCAAATCAGTACTTGGTCCTGGTAATGAAGGCAGGGGGCTGGACTCGATGACCTTCAAGTTCTAGGAGATAGGATATCTCCATTAATATATATATATATATAAACTGTCTTGTTCTGAAGCTGTGAATTTGACTTATTTGGAAAGGGACATTTAGTGTCTGGAATGAGCATTGTCAATTTGAAAATAGAGGTAAAAGTACTGTTGGCTATTGCACCTATCCCTGATTCTACCTGCCAACTTGTGACTCTTACAATCACACTTTTCCTATCCTTTTTAATTTTAAAATCTGTTTCCTCCCCTTACTACTGTGTAAGAGATCTACCCAAAAAGAGGAAACTGACTATAAAGGGGAAACCATTGAACTGGTTAAACACAAACTTGTGTTTAACACACAGTGTAGATAAATCCAGGGGGAAGGAAACCATTTTCTCTAATCTCTTTTGGTTCTAGTAATTTTAGGTGTTACTATTGTTACAGTTAAATAAAACGCCTTCAGAAACAAGTAATTTATTTAAATAGATGGTATCCATTTGAAACAGATCAGACTTCTCTTCTGTTAAAACTTTTCTGTTTTTTTTTATAAGAAGTCAAACCTCTCAAAATCATGAATGAAACCAGAATTGTAATGCTGGGAATATCTAAATTGCATTTTAATGTGATTTGAAGTCCCCAGATGATGCATGATCTGTAGGAACGCATTGCACACTACACAGAACTAAATGAATGATCTAAACAGATATTTTTATTCTAAATTGTTGGGAAGAATTCTACCCTTGTGGCAGCAACCATGAAAGTATCATTTAGCTCCTGTTTGTTGCTTTGACTGCTGTGCTGCCTGCCCCAATCCTTGCAGTCTTTTCCCTGTCTTTTTTACAATAATCCCACCCTTCCTGACCCCTTCAGTTTTGAGTCAATCTCCATTAAATACTGAAACTTTAGACAGGATTGGGTTAATCTGAGAAAACTGGATTCCTTGAATTCTTATCCCCTTAGTCTGTCTCCTATTAGAAATTTGCAAAACTGTTACCTTGGAGAATGACCAAAGTTTTCTGTTTATCTTTAGGCATTGCTTTACTGGTAGTTATGATGTCATAGAGCCATTGCTAGAGCATTTTCCAAACCTTTCTGTGGGATTCACTGCACTGCTGACTTACTCATCTGCCTTTGAAGCCAGAGAGACGATAAGAAAAATTCCTTTGAACAGAATAATTGTTGAAACGGATGCTCCCTATTTCCTCCCTAAGGAGGTAAGTATGTTTCTAAAAATGCTCAAAACATTCTTTTCTGCCCGTGCTGTTAATGTTGCTCTATCAGAAGTGTGTTAGGATATCTGCAAGAAGGAATGGATTAGAACGGGGTTGCAACCTTCGGCATGCAGCCTATCAGGGTAATCCGTTGGCAGGCCGCGAGACATTTTGTTTACATTGACCTTCCGCAGGCACGGCTCCCCGCAGCTCCAAGTGGCCGCGGTTTGTCGTTCCCGGCCAATGGGAGCTGCAGGAAATGGCAAAAGCTGCAGGGACATGCTGGCTGCTGCTTCCTGAAGCTCCCATTGGCTGGGAATGGCGAACTGCGGCCATTGGGTGTGGGGGGGGTGGTGCCTGCAGACGGTCAACGTCAACAAAATGTCTCGCGGCCTGACAGCGGATTACCCTGGTGGGCTGTGTGCCGAAGGTTGCCGACCTCTGGATTAGAATATTGCATTTGTAGGCCTGTGTTTTGCTTCAAATATTCAGAAAGCACGTGGATCTGGAAGCGAGTTCTAATATGGTATGTCTGGTGAAGTGTTCCCTTTACAAAGTAGCAGTGATCTAAGCCTCAGATTTGAAATTATAAATTGTTTAGAACCACAGGTTCAGCTCTTAGCATGGCCAACTCATCCCTTTGTTTATCTGCGGTAAACATACTTAATTCTCTACATATAGGACTTTAAAAACTGAGGTCCTTTCTGCTTTGCGTGAATGGAGAGATGTTTACTCCAGTGTCTCTTGCCAATAGTTTCCCACCTCTGTTGTGTAGTTTGTTTGCTTGCTGCTGCCCTTATAAAGAGCTCTGGGATGGAGGAAACACTGGGAACATCAAATAGTATTATTGTTGAAAGACACTTTCTGAAAAATGTCAGTGACCATATTTAGAGGCTTGAAGTGATAACTCCTGACTAGTTCTGTATACTACAGAATAGGAGGAAATGACCTGCACCATTCTTAACTCTTTCCTTTCATTAATGTTTGTGCAGGTTCCCAAAAGCATTTGCCAATATTCTCACCCAGGATTAGCCCTGCACACAGTGAGAGAGATTGCCCGTCTGAAGGACCTGCCACTGTCCCGTACCTTGGCTGTTCTAAGGCAGAACACCAATCACGTGTACAATCTATAGGATGGTGCTAGCAAATGTGGAGAAGAGCGAGGTCAGGAAAGCTACTGTGAAATGGTGAAAAACCCTTCAATACATCTATATTATGTCTTCTGTGGCCCCGAAATGTTATGCTGCAATCCAACTTGTAGATGATGGTTAGTGTTAAGTACTCATGACTTGCCACCCCCACTCCTCCCAAAAGAGTTACACATTCCCTTTTAATTCTCTACTGGCCCATTGTCTCCCTGTGGCATGCCACAAGAAAGGGTGTTGAGGTCTTTGTTGGGTAAATGGTTTTTCTTGTGGAGACAAAGAGAATCTGCTGTAGAAAATATTATGGGATTTTATTCAGCTTTATTTGTATTAGCCTGTTCAAGAGTGAACAGCTTATAATTATTGAGCAGATATGGATTACTTGGGTGTAGTTAGAGCCCAAAAAGGGGATAATGATCTTGGCTTCTTAAAGCACCTAATTGCTGAGGCTATACAGAGAAGAGTATGCATCAGAGCAGAGAATTTGATGCATAACTACGCACAGAGTTCCTCATGCCACAGAATGAAAACATACCCCAAATTGTTAACAGTGTTGTTTGTATACCCGTGCCTTTCTTTGGATAAAGTATACAGCATGTAGGTGCCAAATAAGCTTTTAAATTTTTTCAGCAAAATGTTAAAATTACCAGAGTGTTGAATAGCCTCAAAAAGACATCAGTTTTTTTGGCTACAGTGAGGTTTTAAGAGAACTGAAGTGGAGTATGAACATAGAAGCCCACTGATCCCACTTTTGATGGATCCTGTAGTATGCAATTGAATGTGGAAATCTATCCTGAATGTTCTTATGTGGGGTTGTGGCCCAGCTATATTATCATGAAGAAAAATGCCTGTGTAACAGAAATGCAAAGCACTTTGGTGAATATACGTCTCAAAATAAGCTTTTTGTAAAAGTAAGTCTAATTTTAAACTACTTCAGGCCAGTTTTAATGTCTTTCAGAGGGCAATTTGACAAATGACAATGACTTAATTTTTCTGTAATATAGGTTACTTTTAGTGTACCTTGAAACTAAAGTTGAAACTTTTTTAAAGCTTATTTGTAAATAAAGATCTCTGAGAAAGAGATACTGTTAAATTGTTGTTTGGTTTATACAGAACTATGCTAATAGTTTGTAGATTGATTTTAGTTATCTGTAAAACCTAGATTATTAGATTGGTACTCTTCCATTTATCAATCGGGCAACCCCTCCAAACTAATAAATGACACTGTGAAAGTGTTCAGTTACACCTTTCCACTTTGTACATTGTCCACATCTGTATGCTAGTATCAAGCAGGTGTTGTGGCCTCATGTTCTGCACAAAGATTTTTAAATGCATAATTTTCTAAAAGTATTACTCCAAATATTAATGTAAGTACACATAGCCTGTCTTAAATCAACAGACTGAAAGATTTGAATGTGAAGCTGTCCAGTATTTCCACCACATAAGTGTATATCTCAGTAGGTTTGGCTATACCACCGCCCCCCCTCATGGATCACTGCCACATGTGAATTTACTAATCTTTTTGACAAAGCAACAGTTTAAAAGCTTTCATGTTCTAAAGGGTATAATTTGCTGGTCCCCTTCCTCTTTAGGACCACTAAGGAGACAATATTGTCTTTATTGAAATTAACTGCAAAATTCTCATTTACTTCAGTGGGAGCTGGATAGGGCCCTTGTAATTGTCAACTTATGCCTTATGTAATTAACTCAGCTATTAAAAGATGACTTCATATACACATCTCTTTATCATATACATAGGTGTATAAAGGAGACTGAAATTTGCATCTAGTGCCACACGTATATAGAATCAGTTAACAAATGACTGCGGTTTCAACACTAGCTTTATTTTCTGCTGAAAGAAGCATATGGTAAATTAACACAGTTTTTCCCTCACTTGTTTAGAACAGGTAGCTTCAGTCACATAGTTTTGAAAGGTAAGAAAACAATTTAGATTTCAGTGTTTGACCTTGCTTGCTGTTATCTGTCTACCATACATATACTACTTGCAACCTCATCAAAAGATCTGTTGCACAACAAAATGTCATTTTTTTAAAACTGCGAACTGTTCAGCTTCATGCATTTGTCTTTTAATGCATGCTATTATCATCTGTTGCACAATGGTAAAGCAAGATTTAAAGCAATCCAAGCCAATGAGTGGAACTTTGTTGTACTCTAATCAGTTTGTAACATCTTCATGTTTCAACTCATGCCAATTTCGGGTTTCTGAAAGGGAAGAGGGTAGAGATTTTAATTTTTCCTTTTTTTGTTTTGTTTTTACTTTTTAATTATTTAAGAGGTATTAACAGGTTTACAAATCCTTGCCATGTAACTTTCAGAAACAAAACAATCGATGTTTTGACAGACATACAAGAATACAGTGATCAGATCTCTCTAACAGGATATTACCATATTACTGAGTGAGATTCATAACATCTGTGTTGTAGTTTCTAGAGATTTGATTGGGTGAAATCTCTGATTACTCGTTTAACAGACCAGACGTCTAAAAATATTAATATTCCAAAAAAATTAGGTGTGCTGGATTTTTGCACGTGAATGTACTCCGAGTATTGAATAAAAGGTAACCAAAAATCTAAGTATCTATTTGTCCTCTCTGTTTTGCTGGGTATGTAATTCATGTGTTAATTTTTCCATTCGTTTTTAATATTTACATTAGAGTAGGTCCCAGAGGCTCAACCAAGATCAAATTCCTGTTGTAGTCCCTGTCAAAAAAGTTTATTGTATGTGTTACTAAGAGGCATGTGAAAAGTGGGGGAGAGGAAGACACATACACAGTTCTATGCATCCTTGCTGCTATTAGATAATTATAGTGGCTGACTTCTTTTAAGAGACCTGGAAGAAGTGAGGCTTGAGAAGGGATTTTGAGGAGGACAGAATAAGTGGCCATGCTGATCCATCCGTTCAAGCTTAAGGAGCCATGCAGAAAAAAGCACAAAGACCTCTGTAGTGGGATGGACAATCAGACTATCAAAACTGGCATTGCTGGCAGAGTGGAGAGGGTGAAGGGCCAACACAATACAAGAACAGAGAGAAGCACCAGGGCCTTGAAGGGGAGGATAAGACACTTGGTCTTGATACGGTGGAATGGAGAAACAGCAAAATAGTATCTATGGCAACTAAAATGAGTTTTGTTTGCTTTTCACTGCTAATGCATAGTTTTGGTCAGGGTGGATTTGATTTAAATCATTAGTCAGGAAGACTAGATTTAATCATGGTTTTTTACATAAAAGTGCATTCTTGTTGGTTGTTATAACCTTAGTACATATTATTCACAACTCAGAGATAGATATAGGTTTCATTTTTAGAAGGTACACACTATACATTTTTAAACAGTGATTTATTTTGAATACTTTTCAGATTAGTTTTATAGCTATATCAGAAAATGAATGGTTGTCTGGTTATTTCTTTTACCAAAGGTAATTGAAGCAGATATTTATGAATTCATTGGGAGGTGAACTATCTCCAGTTCAACAGGTAAATCATTAGTATTTGGAGGATTTTCTTGCCATGCTGTATTAGGAGGAGAACATCACTAGACAGACATTTAAATTGTTTTATTTAACTAAAACAACAACATTAAGTATTCTGGATTTTTTTCTTCAACAGCAAACCTATAATATTTTAACAAAATTACGCATATGTTCCTCGCTTCTCAGATTTATCTCCAAACTGCTTCTTGTCCAGATCAATTCAACCCCCAACTATCTTCTATTCGCTGAACTTTTTGAAACTTTGCACTTTTAGAGAGAGGTAAGGGATTGACTCTGTGTACACAAATTTGCAGAGGGACAATAGAGTTGAGGTCTGTTATTTCTCACCTCTATATATTATGTATTTAAAAACATTTTTGCTGTTAACAAGCATGTTATCTCTGGAGACACAAATCCACAGTTTGAGAACTGCAAAACTAAGCATCTCTGGTATCTTCTAGACTGAGCACTGAGTCCCATTGGAAATATTAACCTAAATAATCTATACAGAAGCCTGTGGAACCCCATCAGATTGGGTCCCTAATCCATGAACTATTGGAACTCATTTACAAAACTTTTCTTAAACATTACATGAGTATATTGTCTCATACTATAGAATTAGAATTTATAATCCCTATTCCATGATGAGATATCTTTGAGCTACAATGTATCTTAATTAAAACTATATTTAGATAGGTTTTTCCTCAAAAAGCATTTTATAAAAAAAAAGAGATTTAAATAAAATCTGATTTTTTTTTAATCATTGATTTTTATCCACCCTGGTTTTGGTCTCTTTCACTGCCAGAGAGATGAAGGTGTTGGCTTGTGGGAGGCATAAAAAATGCTGAGATTTTCAAAAGTAATCCATGATGTTAGGTGCTTCTATTTTTGGATTCTCAAATAAAACACTGAGGGATCCTATTTGCCTAACCTGAAAATCAGGTCCCTTTACAGAGTGTCATGTTGGACAGCCAACGTGGCTCTTGAAATCTTGGCCTAATGTTTTATATATTAAGGTCTAGTCTTCACTTACCGGCTGGTCCGGCGGCACGCCATCGATGTTCTGGGATCGATTTATCGCGTCT